AGCCAGTGCACCGTCTGCGGGGGGGGGGACACACACCGTGACGGGGGGCCAGCTCCCCGCAGCCCTGATGACACCCCCAGCCCTGGCCCAGGGCAGGAGAGGGTGCTCGGTCTCCTGGGGCCAGCGCGGGGACACAGCTCCAGGACACCAGGGGAGGGAAGGTGAGACTCTGGGTGCTGGCGCAGGGGGTCCCGGGTGCCCCCACCCCACTGCTGGGCACTCACCACCTGGGGGATCCGCTTGCAGATGGGGGGGTGCAGGGCGGTCAGCATGGCCAGGGTCCCCGAGGCGGCCCGCCGCAGCTTCTCATCCTCCTCCCCGCTGTACAGGACCATCAGCTTCAGCCGGTCGCTGCCCTCGGCCAGGAACAGCTCCTGCACCTGCAGAGGAGGTGGAGGGGGGCAGGGGGGGGGTTCAGGGGCTGGGAGCCCAGCGCAGCCGCCCAGCCCGCCGCGGCCCAGCCCTCACCTCCTTGCTCATGGCCATGTTGCACATGCACTCCGTTGCAGCCAGCCGGATCAGCTCGTGCTCCTCAAACATGTACCCCTCGATCATGGGCACAGCCTTCTCCTTCAGGATCTTCTGCCTGCGGGGAGGCGCCCGTGAGCGCTCCCCACCCGGGGCAGCACACCTCCGGGCCAGACAGGGACAGGCCCTCTCTCCCCCGTACCCGGTCCAGCTCCGCGCTGGCCCCACCGCCCCTACCGCAGCCTCTCGCTGATGCCGGCCAGGTTGGTTAATGCCATCAGCCCCTCGAAGTTCTCCAGGCCCGTGCGCTGAAGGTGCAGAAGGCTTACCAAGGGCCGGACCACCTCGTAGATCTGTGGAGGCAGCAGCGCAGGGCTTGAACCCTGAGCGAGGGGCAGGGGCTCTGCACCCTCTGAGCCCAGCCCAAAGGCGAAGCTGCTCCCATCAGGCCTTTGTGGGGAACACCAAGGGTCCTGCCACCTCCCCCTCCTCCGGGAAGGGCAAGCCCGTGCTGGCAGTTCCAGCAGCACAGATCTGAGGATCACCAGTCCTGTGGCCTTTAGTTCCAGGACTGCCAAGCCCTTTCCCAGTGGGCGGTGTGGAGCCCACCCTATCCCAGATGCTGCACACAGGGACCGGGGCAGCTCCAGCCGGGGCAGCCCCTCCTCGTGCTGCTCAGCCCGCTGCCTCCCCAGAGCAGACGCACGCCTGGCTGCAGCAGCCCGGGAGCACACAGTGGGGGGAGCCCCTGCTGCAGCCCCGTCCCCACTGCTGCTCCCACGCAAGCCCCTGCACAGCCCCAACTGCCCGCACAGGGCCCCTGCTTGGCAGACCCGTCCCCACAGCGGCGACACTCACCCGCTCTCCGGGGAAGGCCATCTCCGGGTTGGAGGTGATGGTGATCTTTGCCAGGGCCTGAGCTGCCTTGGTCTGCCCCACCTCAGTGCCCTCCAGGGACAGTGGGATGAGAGCCTGCAGGCAGAGACGTAGCAGCCAGGTGACGGCAGCCCCAGCTTCCCCACGTCTCCTGTACGAGGGCGCCAGTGTGCCCTCCT